CTCTCTCTCTCTCTCTCTCTCTCTCTCTCTCTCTCGCTCTCTCTCTCTCTCTCTCTCTCTCTCTCTCATGAATATTACTTACGAGTGGTATAATAGAGTAATAAAGGCAAACAAGAGTAATAATGATTTCATTGCTAAGTTGACGCACATATGGATATCAAAGTATAGACATATTCTCTAAGAAACAAGTGGTATATAATAATACGTTTGTTGTGAGCAATGAGTAGAATATAATTATTGGCCATTTCTTGGAGGGAGACATCCGATACTGAAAGCCATTTTCATAATTCATTAGAAGTGACTGCTGTTTGACAGTCGAGTCCGCAATACATATAAATATATGTATAATATTTTGCAAAAATGTTTTGCTATTTTGTCTCATATTGACTGTTACTCACTGTTACTGTTGTGAGACTTTTGTAATTAGAAAAATACTTTTTCCGCTCATTTGCGTCCCAAAAGAGGTTTTCCTTTCCTATACTTTACTTTGATATTCTCTTTCAGTTCATTTGCCTTCTTGTCGGCTCTCTTAGAGCAGTTATCACAACATTATTTATAACGGGAATCAAATGCAAACCGACCGAACACAGGCCGCCAATCGGGTCGACTACCTATAATTAAGTGGCCACAGTTCAGGCACCGGTTAGNATTTGTAATTGAATAATAAGTAATCAAACATTTCTCTCTCTCTCTCTCTCTCTCTCTCTGACAATTCAATCTTAAAATTTGGAGTCCAAAAATCACTTCTCATTTTTGTGGCTCAACTCATATCGTATTACTTGAAAGAACCGATTCTTTCTAAGTCTTTGCGGCTTTTAAATGACTGTATGATAGCTATGATAGCAATGACTCCCTTATAGACTACTCATTCATCTCATACGATACCATTTGAGAGGCAGAAAGATCTTGTTGTCGTCAGTGGTCTCACACTTTGGAGACACTTATATATAATATCTAATAATCTCCACTCGTTTCGGCGACTTTGGTCCCAATTCTTCAGAATAAATGACTTTAATATTGATATTTGAAATAACATTCAAACAAACATAACATAAAAGGCTCTACTGTTTAGTGACATGAGTTAATAATCTCTAAACATGTTATGAATATATTTTTATTACATAAATTTGTTTTTGTGTTAGATATGATAAATTATTAGATAATATATATCTGGATACATTAACAATGAATTTTTATTTGCCAATATTTTACAAATAAAAATAACATTTATTTCATGTATATTTTTATTGATTGTAATTTTAGTATTTGTTGTCATTAATTCTGTTGATTACCTTAACTACACAACTGTTGTCATAACCACATCTCTCTCTCTCTCTCTCTCTCTCTCTCTCTCTCTCNAGACTACAGTAGTCGGTAGGACTGGGAGGTCTGCGATAACCATAGACTCTCTCTCGCTCTCTCTCTCTCTCTCTCTCTCTCTCTCTCTCTCTGCGCCACAGAATTAAATGTCGTGTAAACAGAGTAACTGTTAAAGGAATATAATTATGAAGGATATGGAGAAATGCAGATCATTTATGAAAATTGATTGAAAACAATTAAAGTAATCAATTTTATAAAATAAATTTTTAAAATGTCTCAAAAGTCTGTCCCAAAAAAGGCAAGTACTGTAAAAATAGTGAATTTATTAATTATTCGTTTAACATAATGAATAATTTATTATTAAATGAAAATGATCTAGACAACACCAGCCTCAAGGACTACAGCAACCAATGCTCCCAAAACAACAACTCGTCCTCAGGTTTAATCTAATTATGATTTTTATATACATTTTTGTATTTTGATATTTATTTGAAAAATAATGTACAGAAAAAGATAATCAAGAAAAATGAAGATAAAACGGATAGTAAAGTAAAACCACAAATAAATGCAAATAAAAGTGATGTCAATAAGACTACATCAAAGACTATCAATACTAATAAAGCAAATGATAATAAGACTACTATTAAAGTTTCAAAACCATTGGCCACAAGTGATCCCAAGAAGAATAAAACAGAAACCAATGGTTTAATAAAGACAACATCAGTGAAACCAAATCCAAGAAATGTGAACAATACTAACAAACTGTTGCCATCAAAAATAACTAATAATAAAAGCAAACAAAATAATAGCATAACTAATAACATTAAAACTACAAATAACACTAAATTTATATCCAAAGCAAAACTCACTTCATCAATAAAAACAGAAAATTCTGTTTCCGACAAAAAGCAAACAAATGTAACTAAAACTGAGCCAAAAATAGTGGATAAAATACAGTTAGAAAATGAAGACAAATCTAACAGAGATTCAAGTGATGAACAATATATATCTTTGGCGACATTAGATTCATCGTATAGACAATCAAAACCAGGAAAATCATCGGAGGTAAGCATTACTTAACTACTTTCAATACCAATGCTTTGTCAATGAAATAGTATTGACTGCACTAAAGTTTGGTATATTATGGACCAAATGGTACTGTATATTGGCATTGGTAAGCATTGGTATTGAAAGTCGTGAAGTTAGTTAAATTACAATTAAAACAACTCACACACATCAATGCCATACGTTAGCCATAATTAGGGTGATGCTCAAAAAATAGATTACCATTATCTACAGATTAATATGAGTCCTATATTAGCACTTAGCATTTCCATAAACTTAACATTACTCATACGAGTAGCATTAGTCCCATAGATTTAACATTATCCATATACTTAACATTACCCATAGAGTTAGCATCGCCCATATACTTAACATTAGTCCATAGGATTAGCATTGCCAGGGTTAGGCAAGGGACCAACCTAGTCGCTAGAAACGGTACATTCTATGGGATGTTAACATACTGTAGGAATAAAGGTATATGCATTGACATCTAACGCTAAGGTTGGTCAGTTGCCTAATGCTAAGCATTGCCCATAGTTACCCATAGGATTACCAGTAGTCCCATAGATTCAACATTACACACAGACTTAGTACTATCCCTAGGATTAGCACGAGTCCAATAGATTTAACATTACCCATAAGATTAACATTGCCATATACTTATCATTGCCCATAGGATTATAATTGACATAGACAATATTAGTCTCATAGGAGTAACATTATCCATAGAATAACATTAGCCCATGTTAAATTATAAACTATCCTTAAGTTACATAGACAAAACGTGATTGGCGTGAGTGAGTGTGAGTGAGTGGTATTTTTACTTTCGTGAGCGTGAGTGAGCGTGAATAATTTTTTAGTGACCGTGAGTGAGCGTGAATAAAAATTTCCATATTTACCGACACTAGTATAGACATAAGCTGGAATCTCATGTTAAATCCCATAGGGTGAATTATGGACCATAATTTATGGTTATTAAATATGTCTTATTGTTAACTTCAAAAGAAGTTTAAATACAATATAATATTATTTATTTTTAATAAAAGTATTAAATAAGCTATGATTGAAGTGTCGATGAATTGTAATGTTTTTAAGTTTGAAATAAATGGTAAAATTGAAATCTAGAGTATATTAGCGGAACCGCCGTCGATGTGTGACACAGATATCGACGATTTGATACAACACTCTCACGACAACCAAAGCAATGATGACTTTCCATCTGAATATTGCGATGACTTCGAAGAATATGAATCAGATTTCGAGGAAGAAGACGAAGAAGACAACGAAGACAACGACCGCAACAGCAAACAACACACTCAACACATATCTGACGAAGAAGAAGAAAAAGTTGATTCTCCTTTACAAGATGGTACATTTCACAAGTTCACTCTGATCATTTAATATATGATTATAATTGCATCATTTGAATCATAACTTATATAAATATAACTTAAATTAAATTGAATTTATATTAGATTCAAAACAAGTGAATTCTGGTCTCCAATCAATAGAAAATATGCCTAAATTTGATAAAACTTATCAATCAATTACTGAATCTGTAAAAAGTGCTAAAATTCGTTCAGAAGTGGAACTGAAGAGGAATGAAGTGATGAATAGGAGTAAAGAACTGCTGGAAATAATCAAACTTGATAAAATATTATTCACAAATTTTGATTTGCCACCAATTAATTACGATATGTTTATCAAGACATTTGGTCGCAAAGACGCAAAACAAGTCTCGTGTCAGACCATTGATCGCGAAGATAACGAAACACAAACCGATTCATTGGAAATATGCACAAAATGGACACAAAATCCTTCGGCGACGCGATTAGTGGCCGGAAATGAGAGCCAATTAAATGATAAATTGTCTTCAAATTCATATCCAATTCCTAAAGTAAATGCATTTGATTTGCTTAAGTTTCTTAACAAAAGTCAAACTATTATGACTGCAATCTTTGACACGGAATACAATAGTAGAAACTTATATAATGCTCGGCGAGTATTACCCAAAGGTATGATTTAAATGAGTTAATTGCAAACAGTTATCAAATTAATTATTCTTGTATTAAGGGAGTGAACGCTTCTCTACAAACTTAAGGACAATAAAATGCTTGCCATTAGCGAAGAAGTGTCCAATTGTTTACTCGTTTTGCAACACTTTATATTTATTTTGTGTGCAAAATGTTTGCAAAACTGATGGGTCGGCAGAGAAATCAATGATAACTCTTTGGTCATTAATGTCTGAAAAGTTTGAAAAGTCAGAAAAAGTACTGATTTGTCGGTCGCATATAATGAGCGCTTTTGCTGAACAATATTTAGTGGTCGGCGCTATGATTGACGGCTCGCTAGCGCTTTGGGATCTCAACGAAGTCTCCAATTCTTTTAAAGAGATTATAATCGATAACCAAATGTTTGTATTGAGGACTCCATCATATAATTCCGCGCTTACGGCCACTGAACACAACTGTCCGGTTGTGGCCATTAAAAAGCTGTCGTACAGCGAATCCAACGATGAATCCATTCATTTTCTAACTGTTGATGAAAATGGGATTCTAGTTATTTGGGCCATCCATGACATCAAAGGTCTATTTTTAAATGTAAATCACATTTAATTAATGCTTTATTTATATGTAAACTATATTTAACAGAAGAAAACAACGATTTAGGTCTCTCTCAAACCACAAACTACACAATAACAAGGATTTCAATCTTAAATTGTCTAAAAGGCGTTGATTTGGACATAAAGTCACTGAAGATAACAACCCTCGAGTGTCAACCAAATGATTGGTCAAACTTTTACTGCGGAACAGATAATGGTTTAGTTATTCGTCACACAAGACAACAAGAATTGATCACAAAATTGCCAAAAGTTTACCAAAAGAGTCAAATGAATAGTTTATGGACTAAAGTAGCGGTAATTAAGTTTAATTTGTTGGAAATCAATAACTTTTTGGTCGCATTTACCGACGGTTTGATTACTTATTATTCAATTACAAACGAAAATCCATTAATGGTTTTCACTTCAAACGATTTGCCAATAATTGACATGAAGTGGCTGTCAATCTGGCCATCAATTAATGAAAGTTTTATTGCTTTAAATAATTCAAATGAAATATTCATTTGGAAATTGAATACTGATAACACATTTTCAACATTTATTAAATACAAACATTCAAATAACAGGTTATCAATCAATTCATACATATTTTCACTATTATTTAACTTTTATTAACTTATTATAGATTATTAACAATGAATGTATGGAAAGGACTTAAAACATGCTTGGTAATCAAACATTACATTCTCTCTCTCTCTCTCTCTCTCTCTCTCTAATGTATTGTGTAATGAATTTATTTAACAAATAGACGTTTGGATGCGATTGCGGGCAAACTTTGGTCTTTGATTTAATTGAATTTAATTGATTTAATTAAAAATTGTTGACAAAAATAGATAATAAAAATGTGATAAAACAATATATGATTGTATGCTTGACTGTAATAAAACATCTAGCACACTTTACCTCGCTATTAATTGACTGTATATAATAGGTGTGCTATACCGGTAAGTAAGTGTCAAAATGGATTCAAATATTAATATCGATAGAAAGTGATTGAAAGTGAAGATATACTGCAGTCGTGGACACAATCATTACATTCAAATTATGCGCTTAATAGAGAGCTTTCATTTGAGCGCAAAATACGATAAGTAGTAAAACACAAACACTGTGTCATAAATATGACAATTACCTAGCTTGTGATCTCAACGGTTTTTCTAGGAAAAATGCACTCAAAAAATTTTTTTGCAATTAAACAAAAAACAAATTAAAAACAACATATTTTAATATTTGAA